CCAAAATGAGTTTGGCTGCATTGTACTTTATAAAGTGATTTATATATATATATATATATATACTCTCTCCAGTCCAAACCAATGTACTCTTTAAAGATATTTATTACTAAGTCCTAGTTGATTACATTATTATCCACAGTCTATATCTTTTTGTCCTTTCTCTCTTATTTTTTGACTTTAAACAAAAAAAAAATTAACTACATAATCATAAAGATTATGCTACTAACAGTACTCACTTATACCTCAAGCAGTGTGGTAACTAGTGCGACTGATTATTTAACTTCAAAATTCCAATTTTTTTCTTCTTCTGAAATTGCAATTTTCAACCTTAATGATACCTTATGTGTGGGTGGAATAAACAGCCAGATCAGAATCCTCTAGAGTTCAGGTACAGTTATCCATAATTCTGGTTTACTGATCAAATGGAAGGTAGTCAGACAGCAGCACTTGCTACCACAAAGACTTTGTCTGATTTCTAGAACCAAATAATGTGACTGACTGTCACTATTATAATGTGTCCATTGCTGAAAGTGCATAGTGTTCAGTGATGTCACTCTTGAACCCCAGACCCTGTGGTAAATGTTTTTTTAATTATCGAGATGTTACTGACCTGATGGTTAACTATAATAAAATAATTATTAGTCTCCTATTACATCAACTACTAAATTCATAAGTGAGTAATGAGGGTAATTTTGTTTAAAATATATCCACATACTTGTAGCCATGGCCCATGAGCAGCATATGGATGTTCAGCATCAGCAAAAGCTCCCACAACACTTGGAGCTACAAAGGTAATAGCAATGTCTCCCACAACACTTTTAAATGTGAAATGCCGACCATGTCGCAGCCTGCCTCTGTAAAAAAAAAAGTTTTTATTTTATTGTTTATTACATATTTTACATTTAAAGCATACAAAACTTCACGTTTTATCTGTTTGAAACTCTTTAATACTACACACAACAAATCAATTCATTCAAAATGTATATTATACTTTTTAAAATTACTGTATTAAAAACAATGTAATTTTTTTTTACATGCAAAGCTAAATATTATTTTTGAAAAAAAAATTCAGAAATGTCTGGGAAAACCCATTATACCCTGGCAAAGGAATTGAAAAAAAAAACCAAAAAAAAAACCGTACAGTTTGTGATGTCATCAGGTAAAATTATGCCAAAAAGTTAAAGTAGCAAACTGACCTTAGTATTTATAATTGTACAATTTATTAAACAAAGTACAAGGTGTACAGATTCTATAATTGTAGCATGAATGAATCATTGTATAATAGCTAACTTCTTAACTTGTGGCATGTGACTGAGAACTATGAACAGTCACAAAGTATTAATCTAGACAGTTTTTTCTGTGATACAACTAACTAAAACATCAGAACCAGGTAACAAAGGAGTGAAAAGTTCTAACAAACCATTACATAAGAGAAAAAATATTGTAAATCAATTAACTGCAGGTAAAAGATATATAAAGCCAAGTCTAAATTGCTGTATATCAAAACACAAGTAGCAGGTACCATATGATGTAGAAAACTATTAACAATGTGTAGTTTTTGAACCTGAAGAAATTGTTCAAGTAGTCAACTGATAGTGAAGGATATTTCAAAATTCACCTGTTGATATGATCTTAGAATCATCTTAAAAACTATACAAAGGATGGAATTTTACTACATGTTTATAACACATTTTCTAAACAGACATAAAACATGATTAAAGGAGAACAACAACTGAAAATAACACGAGTACCTCACCCAAAAACTCAAACAAAATCAAAGTAGCAGCTTTCAAGTGAAATGACAATACCTTAAGGCTAAAGGAAGTACAGTTCCAGCCTCCAAATTGAACTGGAGGTGTACTGACTCTAAAGTTCTAGTTTTAAGAAGTTCACCAGATTCTAGCATTCCTGGATAACTGCTGGCACTGCTATCATAACATTCTTTCCTGATGTTGTTATCGTTTCTATCAGAAAACAAAAAGGAAAGTTAAAATTTGGATTATTTTTATAACTTATTGTAAAAAAATGCAGTCTAAAAGATTACTAAATTTTACACGTGAGAATACATTTTTAGGAACTTTTTAACTCATTTTCTAAATAAATTTAATGAATTTTCAAACTAAGTTGTTTTCTTATGTGTAATCTGAACAGTTCTGGTTTACTAGTTTAGGAATAACCATAATAAAGACCTATTTTACATGTTTATATGTATCCAGATCACGTTTATGTTTACATGAAATCTGAATATATGTCTAGTGTATATATTCATGGGTAACCAAACTCAGGTCAAGTTTACACGTTACATGCAATCAGAGCTCAGGTGTAGTTTACACGTTTGTGTGAAATCTGAATATGTCTAATTTACATATTTAGGTGTAATAAGAACTAAGATGTAGTTTCATGTTTACATGAAACCTGAATGTATGTCTAGTTCACATATGTAGATGTTATAAGAACTTGGGTCTAGTTTACATGAAATCTGAATATATATATCTTCTTTACATACTAAGGTGTAATCCAAACTTAGGTTTTCTTTACATGTTTACACAAAATCTAAATATATATGCCTAATTTATATATATAGGACTAATCAGACCTCGGGTGTAGTTTGCATCAAATCTGAATATGCCTAGTTTACATACTTAAGTGCAATTAGAACTCAGGTCTAGTCAATGTGTTTATATGAAATCTGAATATATATTTAGTTTACACACTTAGGTATAATATGGACTTAGGTGTAGTTTACAAAAACCTGAATATATATATATGTCTAGTTTACATACTTAAGTGTAATAAACTGGCTGGTTGGTTATTGGGGCTTTTTGACTCAAAGCACCGAGGTTATCTGGGACAAATAATTTGGTCTAATAAACCAAAGAGGTCAATACATTTTTGTGTATAAACAAGATTAAAAAATTAAATAGATGTAATAAAGCCAATGGTTCACAAGAAGCCAAAAAACATGAATAATCTGGACAGAGTCACTATTGCCAATGGCATTGTCCAACATTAAGTGTAAACCAAAAGAAATCAAAGCAATGGCACAAAAGTAAAATTTGGGAAATTGACTTGACTGTCACAAAGACAATATACTGGCAGATCATTCCCTTGCAAAAGTAAATGATGTGTAAGGAAATTTAAGCCAATGCAGAGCCTAGATACGACAACTCCCTATGGAAATTATGGTTAAACAACAACAACTGGCTTTCTCTGAAAAAGTTTGTCTGGTTGCTCGCCCCAAATCTACTGCCAACTGGAATGAAGCCTTGCCTTGATGACAGGACACATGGAGCAGTGACAACACCAGAGCATAGATGGATTTAGTTGCAGTGTTAGCAAGTTCATTCCCATGAATACCAATGTAGCCAGGATTCCAGAAAAACTGAATAAAGATGGATTACAATAAAAAATGAACCAGTCTTTTCAGAATGTCCAAGAGAACTGGGCGAGGACTCACACTAAGCTATTCCAGAGCCATCCAAGAGCTGAATGAGTCAGTATAGATTGTACAGTTAGTGATTTGCTTAGCTTGAACATGATCCAAGGCAAGAGAAATGGCATATAACTGAGATGAACACAAAATCTGTAAAGGGGATCCAGTGAGCAATTGCAGAGTCACAACAAACCATGATAAATCCCACAGAGTTGCCAGGATGGAAACAGAAGAATGGTTTGAAATATGTTCATTAAGTGGAAGACAGTACTTCCAATCAGGAGTATCACACCTTTTCAGATGATTCAATGAAAGGTCACAAGTGGGGGTGATTACAAGTCAGATTCAGCAATATCATTCAACAAGCAAAAGTACCCATCCCCAGTGATGGAAAAGTTGTTAATCTATCAATTTAAATAATCTCATGGGTTTTAAAAAGGTTAATTGTATTGCATTCTTGGTTTCACTCTGAGCCAAGCTCTCAGCTACTTATACTGCCCACCGCGAAAAGTAATTGTTGAGCATTTCAGTGATGCTAAAAGCCACTCAAAAATAACAAATGGTAAATCTACATTTTTATTCTTTATGTCACATTTTGAAATGTGAATGATAGTATGATTAGTTCCTAACAATTCAATGCAGAATATCCTGCTTGTGAAACACAATTTGGCAATAACATTATTCATGTCTGTTCTCCCATAATTTTCCATCATGAGCTTTGCCTGTATGTGCAGCTTTTCAAACGCAGCATGGGAAGCAGCCACCATACACAGGAGACAGATAAATGCTCAGACAGACACAATGGTTCACAATATATATAAGATATCAGACCCACTTCACTCAACTATGCCTGAATACAAAAGCCAAATGTAGGAATAGCAGACTGTTTATTTGCAAAAAGCACAACCCATCGAGGCAAGAAGATACAATGCCACATGCAATGCTGTAGTAAGGATCAGTGCTTCATAGCATACTATAAAGAAAGTTGCAAACATCTGAGATGGAGGATCATAAAACTCAATGTACAAACTCTAGACTAGGGAAGTATGGAAAGTTCCCGTGCAGAGCTGAAGCTCCTGATGATGTACAGGATCCAACATCTTGAACCACATACCAGAGAACCAGCTTCAACTGAAGAAGTGCACAGTATTCAGCACAGAACATCTATCTGCTCCCCAAGAAGTGGAAAAGAGAATGCAGGGAGATGTTTAGTGCCCTTGTACACTTGATATGAAGCTGCTTAATGTGAGAAATAAATGTCAGCTTATAGTCAAAAAGAAGTATTAAGAATTTGGTCCCAACCATCACAAGGATAATGGCACTTCCTGGACAGAGCTTTGGATCAGAGTGTAATCCTGCTGACAGCAAAAATGAATATAAACTGTTTCAGATTATGAGCGTGTGAAAGCATTTGCTGTAGTCCACCCCATCAAGCAAGTGAAGAAAGTCTGTAGCTGCCACTCGATAAACCTCATATTTTACAAAACCAATAGTAAATCTTAAGGTCATCAACATAAAGCCTGTTTGCAAGTGTAGGAGGAAGTTGTTCTGAGATAGCATTGGTCTTAATACTGGAAATTGTGACACTCAAGACAGCCTTGAGAAATTCCAAGTTCTGTGCAAAGGATTGGGATGCTGCTGATCCCAAACGGATTTGGAATGACTTGCCAGATAATACATTTTGAATACAAATGGAGGTCCTGTAAGATTCCAAACTTCCACGTGGTTTTGTAAGCCTTCTCAAGATGAAAAAAAATGTTCTATCTTAGGGAAGGCTTCTCTTGTTGACATTTCAAGTCAAATCAGATAGTCCATGGTGGAGTGCTGTTTGTGGAAACCACACTGAGTAGGTAACAGGATGTTGTTTGATTTTAGGAACCAAAAAAGATGAGCATTAACCACCCTCTCCAAAACCTTACAGATGCAGCTAGTCAAAGTAATTGACCAATAATTAGAATGAATCTTGGGATCTTTCTCAGTCTTAGAAAAAGGGATAATAGCCCTAGTCCACACATATTTGGAAAATCCTCCTCCTGCCACATCTGGTTAAAAGCAACCAGAAGAAGAGTAAGAGAGTGGTAGCAAAGCATCTCACAGTGAATGTCATCTGGCCAAAATGATTTACTGCTAGATTGATGTAGAGCGATCTTAAGTTCCACCAATGTAAATAGTCGATTATAGTCAAAGAGACTACCAACTGAAAAAGAGGGTGGTGATCTTTTGGCTTGTAACTTGATGGCCAAGAAGGTAGGGGGAAAAGGTGGAAATGCTGGTATGGTGAAAAAAGCATTCCCTAGGATGTTGGTAATACCCTATAAATCAGCAGCTTTTTGGCCACTGAAAAGCAAAATCGAAAGAGGATGGCAGGTAAACTTCCCACAAACCTTTTGAATGCTGTCATAAATGACTTTGGAACTGGTAGTCAAAGAGATACTTGAAATGAATATAACCAGAGTTTCCATCTGGCTTTGATGTCTGACCTGCTGGGTGTGTGCACAAGCCTGCTGAAAGGCCATGCAGTTGTGAAAAGTGGGACTTCTGCAGAAGATATCCCAGTCCAATTTCTGATCCATCAGTACCTGATGGTAATCTGGAGTCTGGAACAGATAAATACACTGTGGCAAATGTGTTGAGGGATCATATGAGCAACTTCCTGGACAATGCAATCAGTTACTGGCTCTATGCAACTGTCAGTACTAGGCTATTAATGACATCAAAATCAAGTTACAAGAGAGTGGTGAAAGACAGCCAGTCAGCCTGCTACAAAATGATAAGAAAATGACTACTGCCCCATGAATCACTGTAACACTCTCCACAAAAAACAAGAAAGAAGGAAACAAATGGATTGATTTAAAGCAGTAAAATACTGATTTTGAGAATGAAAATATGTACATGATCCAGTATTGAAAAGAGAATGGTTGTGATCTGAGAGCATACAATTCACAGAACAACCACACAACATCAATATCAGCAAAACCCCAGAGTAGATTGTGTCCAATAAAATCTCTCAAGATGAAGGGAGATAGTAACTGTTTGATAAGATTATCAACCTCTTGTGGTGTATTGAGTTGCACAGTCACAAAGGGTGCATGTTGGTCAACCAGCAGTGTCACACCCCCACAAATCCATCCATCACACAACCTGCCTTCCTGTATAAGGAAAACTGCTGGAAGTTGACAGTCTCAGCAGGTCTCAGGAACATCTCCTGTAGGGAGGGAGAGACACACAGAACAGTAGGGATCAATCAAGGCCTTAATGTCATCTAAATCAAAATAAAAACATCAACAGTTTTTCCACTGTATCAACGTGGCCCTTTTTAAATAGAAGAAGCAGGAGAACCAGGTTGAGAGCCTTCTTTTCTTTTTTATTACAACCATATTGAGTGGATGGGGCAAGTCTCAGTCAGACAGGTGAGGTTCCATTAACTCTCTCAACATGGGCTCGATCAATTTGACTGACCACATGTCCTCTTTGTACTTATTCAAAGTCTATATAGACCTGATACTACTAACTTTTAATATAGCGTGCATATCTTCATGAAACTTGGTTGTCTTTCAGTAAAGATTATAAGCCTTTCTGATTCAAAAAATCATATTTTTAGTGAAGTATTTTACTAACCCAAAAAAGATTTGTCCTTGAATATATCAAACATTTGCTTTGAATAGTACATGTGCAAAGTGATTTTCATGTTAAGATTAAAAATACTTTTCTTCATCTCAAATTTCATTTTGTAATCTCTAAAACCTCCTAAATACATTTCAAATATTTGTATTCAGTAAAAACTTATATTTTAGCTGTTATTTTCTCTACCCTAACTCTTTACGTGGTTGGTCAATTTGACCAACCTCATAACCACCCAAAAAAAATCAGAATTATCCTTTTTTCTTTCTAGAATCACTTCAAATGTAACATGAAACTACATTTGTTTATCCTAGGTAGCTTTAAACTTGTAACAGTATGCATTTATTTATAATTAAATTTCATTGCCCTTTGAACCATGTCTAACTACTACTTGTGCCATTATAAGTTGTAAATCACATGTGGAAAGTGCAGCTCACGTGCAAGCCTCGTGAAATATTTTTATTATATTATTATGTATTTTACTTAATCTAACCTAAAAAGATCCTTATTTTTACATTTTAGTTACTTTTATAATAATTAATAAAGAATACACATGAAAAACAGGTGGGTAGATTTTTGGATCCCACAAGAGGTAAGCTGTATAGAAAGAAGGTGTAATAAGAAGTCAGATATAATATATGTGAAATCTGATTATATGTCTAATTTACATATTTCAGTGTAATCAAAACACTGCTTGGTTTACATTTACATGTCGTGAAATCTGAAATCAATTTAGTTTACATATTTAGGTGAAAGCAGAACATAAGTGTAGTTTACATGAAACCTGAATATTGTCTAATTTACATATTTAGGCCTAATGAGAACTCAGGTAGTTTACACATTTATGTGAAAATTTAATATGTGTCAAGTTTACATATTTAGGTGTAATTACAACTCAGCCATATTTTATATGAATTCTAAATATATGTCTAGTTTACACATTTAAGTGTTGTAATGAGAACTCAGGTCTAGTTATATATATCTTGTTTACATATTCAGGTGTAATGAGAACTCAGGTGTAGTCATATGTTTACATGAAATCTGAAAGTATGTCTAATTTATGTATTTAAGTGTAATCAAACACAAGACTAGATTAAGTGTTTGGATATAATCACAAATCATGCCTGCTCTAAGCACATAGTGTATGTGACCTGACCTCAATATAAATGAACTATTTATATCAACCTCTTGAACTATTAAACACATAAAAAGAATTATAACAACAAAGTTTTAAGTTTTTGATTAAGAATATATATGAAAGTAAATTATTAGACATACACATTTAATCATGTTATAATAAATTTACTTAGGATAATATCTTAATAATTAATATCCAATAATTTATAATACCTGGAACTGTGACTTGATTTAATAGGTGGGAGGACAGGTTTGGTGTTCAAAAGACCTTTCTTCAATGTACTCTTTATTTGTTCCGATTCTATTTACAAATAAAGGTTCATACTTATTTACACATAAACAAGAAAAAACAATAAAATGAACAAGATAGTACTTTTTAGCAGTTTTGTGAGTAATACTACCTTAATAAACAATGTGGTACACTTAAACATATCTAAGAACACAGCCTGCCTGATTATAAGAGCTTAATGATGATTTTATCACACTTTTATTTATTCAAGCAGCAAGTCTACCTGAGCATGGTCAGATCTGAAAAATAATTAAATAAATATATGTTTATTTTGGCAGACAGTCTGTCCATTTAATAGGAAACAGATGTCTGAACATGACAAGATCTGAATAAATAAATATTTTGTATACTTAAGTCTTTCTTAGCACACAGTGTGCCTGAGCATCATAATATGTTTATTTATTTTTGCAAATTTACATTCACATAAAACTACTTTAATACACAGTCTGGACATAGCAGAATCTGGATAAATATTTTACCCCACTTAGATTTATATTAGCAAACAGTGCTACCTGAGCATGATAACTGTTACTGTCTTTTGAACTATACATTATTTTAGCCTATGAAACTGAAAAACTAACAGAGTACTAGTAGAAGTACTTTTTCATGGCCTAAAAGAGCAAGATGTTTATAATGTTTTAGCATTGTTTGTAGATTATTTTCATTTGTCCATGAAACACAAAACATAGTCACACTACTTTTTTATATTAGTGTGTCCTGGAACAGGTGGTTGGCTACATCAACCCTAACATTATATGTGGATATTTTTCATTTGTTTATAATGCAGAAGACATCAAAGCGTACCAGCCAGAATATTACATATATAAAATATTATATCTATGAAACCAAATAATTATTACTTTAACTCTTTCAACCCGAGCTTGGTCCTTGGGACCAACCTTATAACCATTCT